GAATAACCAATCTATATATGGAAGTTTCTTAATAACGTAAGTGCTTTTCATTTGGAGTTTTGTTCTCTCATGGTTCTTCTTGTAGATATTTATGAAACATATATAATGTACCTCATGCTATCGACCACACTGTAGACATTAAGGAGAGATGAACACAGAAGAACCCTGTGGACCCTTTTTAACTGAGCCATCTACATCAGGAATGCCTGTAAACTTTCACCATATTTAATTTAACAGAACCATGAGTGTGACTATATATAATACATAAAATTAACTTACACCATTTTGACTGTCGACTGCATGCAGTTCAATTCACTGGGATTTTGAATGCTGTATGATATAACTTTCGTTCTCTTGGAAGGCAGACCATTGGAAGAGGCCATTTGAGAATAAGTGCTAAGTGGGTTTCTAGGGCTCGTGTGCCATAATAGTTAAGTCATACTGTCCCTCCAGGTTCATTGGAAATTTATCAAGGTAGATGAGATTAATGATAGTTTCTTCAGATGGGGGACATTTCTGGGCCTCAGGCTTTCTAGGCAGGTACTCTTACTGCTTGAGCTACTCTGACAGGCCAACAGCAGCCCTTCTTAAAGCCTACCCTCTGCTCCTTCCCCCCAAATCCCCATCCTGACATCAACAGATGACAGAGTCTGCAAGACAAGGAATATTTTACACTAATATTGCTGAATACTGTATTTGGATAGCTATTCCCTAAACTAAATGCAATACCTTCATGCCATTCATTTTATAAAATCACTACTGTTATTGGCAAATCATTTATTCCACTTTATTGGTAAACTCATGTTATTCTCTGAACTCCATCTTATGCATGTTAAAAATAGTTTGATGTACACAAATTCAACTACATATTTATTCTAGAAATATTAAAAACTGACAGAGGGGCAAAAGTCAAATAGACCTTAACCCACATATTTAAAAGGTATGTGGAGTGATTAGTATTAAAAAGTCCAATGTAGTTTTCAATAAATCACTATAGGAAACACAATTTGGACCACAAATGTTTTAACGTGAAGCATTTAAGTAAGAGAGGAGGAGAAAGGGAGTCATAATTCATTTTTTGTTTCTTTCCACTCATATTATCTAAATAATTTTTGTACTTCATATTATCTAAATAATCTTCTTACCTTTTCTGTTTACATTCCTATTACTTCAAATACAGGATTACTAAGATTCCAAATGAGAATGGCTCTCAAGTGTGTTATAACACAAACCAAACTGATAAAGTCAGTTTAGGATCAGGCCTGAGTTATTCAATCTCCTTAGTTCAACTCAACAAAAATGGGGGCTTGGCCTCTTCAAATTTAACAAGACACAGTATGATTCTTCCATAAAGGCCCATGACCTAGAACAAGACTGGATTAAAACAAACCATGGAAACGGCATATAAATAAATAAGAACTATAACATTGATTATACAGCTGCAGTTTATAGACAGAGCATAGTTCTCAAACTTCAGTGTGTGTTAGATTGCCTGTACAATGTTAAAAACAACAGATTCAGGTCCTAACCCACAGAGTCCAACGCTTAGTCTTCACTTTCCTAGACTACTGACCATCCCTTGCAGTCCACATCCTGGCATTACACAAACATGTACTTTTGATGGGAGAGAGGCTGCAATGTTTTTCTGAATTTGCAGAGTCCTCTATTTTAGCTAGTAAATTGATGTTAATATCACAGATGATTTTCTGACCTTGAGTCAGTATATTAATCCATACATTATGATCTTTGCAAACTTTAAATTGCGGTGTAATTGTTTATTTCAGAAGGAGGGGGAGCAGATGCTTCCTTTGTCTGTGGAGTAGGAGCAGTTTGTTTTGCAGAAGCAATGGCTAAAATGGGCCAGACTTCCCTGCCGGCTGTTTGGTCATTGTGCTTTTTAGTGGAATTACAGCATGCTGCAATGTTTTTCTTTGCTGCTTAAACACTGAGCAAACCCAGACATCCAGAGATGCTAAAATGAAAAATCTGTTTCCTCGTGCTTTGCTGTTTGCCAAGTGAACTCTGTCAGACAACACATTCTATACATTTCAAGTAAATGAAATTACCTTTAATGTGTTGGTGACATCTCTCATGAAACACTCTTCAGTCTATGCCTTAAATGCATGGTGTAGGGATGAATTTGACATTGTGTTTAATGAGGCACAATTATGGTTGAGGGCATTGATTTTTCCTTAAAAACTGGAAAGATTTTCTTTACTGGGTTTTCTTCTCATTTTTTCTTTCATTCTTTTGCAGCACACAATACAAAAATGATTCTGTTTTCTTTGATAAGCAAAGTGTCCGACCAATACCATTCTCTGTTGTTCATAACCAACACAAAACTCTAAACTCTCTGTCCCTGATAGAATAGCCTATAAAAATTATTTTCTAAGATTTTCCTGTCAATTATTTTCAGAAAATTCAGCAATTATAATTTTTTTCAATCCCTTGAAAGTAAGGAATTTTTGTTCTTAGTCATTTGTGGAAATTCTTTATTTGTTGAACATTTTTACTGAGTATGAGAATGTGTAGCCTTATATAGCCTCTCCCAAGACTCCTTATGTTGTTTTTCATTTATTTGCAGTAACTCATCTGTTTAGGAAAAGAATATTTATTTCCCTTAAATGATTTTCCATTCTGTGCCTAGAGTTGCTATTTACAATTCTAAGTTATGACAAAGCCTGTTTCACTCTTCCCTTTGATTGTCAGGGTTCTGGTTTATACACAGAAGCAGCTTGTTGGCATTGTAATCAATGCAAAGCAGCCGCATCCACTGCTTTCCGTGAAGAGATTCTTTAAGAGTCCAGATCATCCCTCCTAAATTAATTCCAAGTGCAGGCATCTAATTCTGTTCTTATCATGCATGGATTCTGATTGATCTCTCACATGCTCACCTACCTCATTTGCATACTGCTACTCAAACAAAGACTAAAATCACATAGGCTAGGGAAATGGGCCATCTCCAGGGCCTCTGATTTACATAGATGGTCCTTTAGACCATCAGGCTGATTAGAATTCCAGGGTTTCTGGAATTGTGACTGTGTTGTTCTGTGTTGGAATGTCTGGGAGCAAATATTCTAAGAAGATAGCTTAGGACTCCAGATCAAGAAGAGAAGCAAAGTCTTATGTCTGCTAAGGATTAGAATGTTATGAAAGTTCTACTTTTTGGTTTAAAAAAAAAAAAGCACGCTTCAGGACTTCCATCTTAACTCTGAGGTGATTAAATAATTTACCCGAGGTGACTTAAGAAGAACCCTAGTTTTTCTTAAACTGTTTACTTCTCGTCTGGCATAACAAAACCTGAAATGAAAGCCAGTAAGTATGTTTTTTACAAAAGGGGAAAAAATGAAGTTGTTTTTGGTAAAAAAATTCAGGTAGCAGGAAGAAAAAGATATCTGTCTGAACTATAATTAAGTAAAGCTTTGTTTTACTTATCATGTCTCATTTAAGGACTATCCTGACCAGTGGTAATTCAGAAAAGCATCAAGAAATTCAAAAAGCATAACTATGAATATTTACACACTAAAGACCTATAAAATAAAATATGTTTTCTGATTGATTTTAGCAAAAAAGTCCAAATGTCTCTGTGAATAAAGTTGGTTTCATATATCAAGTACTTCCAAATATTTGGCTCAATTTCTACTCTTCTTCAAAATTAGTGGGGAGGATTCCCAGAGGGAAGACTGAGTGGTAGCCTCATCTGTCAACAGGTGCAGTTGCTCAGGAAGCTGGATTTGGACACTGTCATGGGAATTAATAGCCTGAGCACAAATAGGGAAACATTTGCTGGTAGTCATTTGTTTTGGGTGCTGAAGTCACACCATCTATTTGTTTTTGTTCTAGGTTTTTTCCTTCAAAATGTTTAGTTATTTGGAAGAAATAAAGTAAGAGTGAAAAAATAATAGGAGAAAGCAATGTGTTCAGATCCATGATCACTTCATTAGACCTGATATTTAATGGGATGTTGCATCAGGAGCTTCTACCTTTATTATAATTTCTACAGCAAAGCATTAAAATTTCATAATTTCAGAGATTCCACTGAACCCTAGCTTTTTAATTTTGTTAAATTATTGCCCCATTCTCCAAGTTAGTCAATCAAGGGAGAATAAGAGCATAGAGCAAAAGGAGTGGGAGAGTAACAGGTTAACAGGCCTGACTCCATTCTTCACCAGCTGTGTAATACATTGAACATGCGTGGACATTAAAAAAAAATCTATTATTCTTGTGTTCCCAACACTTACAATAAATACATTCTAGTAATATACCTTTCCTGACATCTGATGAAAAAACTGATATATTTTCCTGTTTTTTAATTTTAATTTTTTTAGACAGACATAAAATTTTGACCAGCTTGAGCAGAATTCAGTATTCTTTCTTGTGTTAAAAGCATAGACCAGTAGAAAACAGGTTAAAAAAAGAAAACAGGTCAAAACTAGGCAGGAAAGACATGGAAAATAATAACCCTGATCTTTAGATACTGTTAGATTTTAATATGTCCTTCAAAGAGATATAAGTTCAGGAACCTACTTGTCTAGGCTGGTATTATTCCCCTACTGATAGATTATATCAGGATAATCAAGAATTGCCTATAAATCATGAATAAGTAGAGTAAACAAAAGGTTTTATTAAATATCAAGAAAAATTAGAGCATTTCCATTAATGCTCATATTTCTCAGTCAAAGAAGTTTATGTCTAGAACAGTGAGGGAAAGAATATATATAGATATAGATATAGAAATATATGATTTCTTTGAACTTGAATATGACAGACATCATAGACACATCGCATATGAATCACAGCAGAAAAATGGAAGTTGCAAATGACATATATTTAGATATATATTTAGACAAGCACAAAAGGACATGGATAACATAAAAATCCTAAGGCTGAATTCAGCTTTTTTAATAAAATGGTTGTCACAAAAACATAGTTAATTGTATTTTTGCAAGTTTTCTTCCTTGTGGAATGTGTTTTGAGATGGACATTGTGTGTGCTTGTAGGGTGCTGTGATTACACCAACAATGGACCATCCTATGTCAATGCAGCCAACAAACATGATGGGTCCCCTGACACAGCAGATGAATCACCTTTCACTGGGCACAACAGGAACGGTGAGTTGAAGTTATGCTGTACTGTCTGTTTTCCCTGGCATTATCAGTGAACTGGTTCCATATCCTCATCTCACATTCCTATTAGGCTTCATTGTGAATAAGGTACATTTTGCATGCAAGTTCAATGCCAGGCACATTCACTCACATTGACAGGTTGAGGGTTCTACTGTGTTGCATTTAAACTTCAGTTACCTCTCATTCTTATGGCACAATGCAGATGGTATACCATCTGTTTCTATCTTTTGCGTGTACCTGCAAACCTGGAACCCATGACTATATACCTCAGTCTGGTTTTCTTACTAGTTGAGCTATTATCATTCCCATGCTAACTTTGACTGTGACTGATACGAAGGGCTTTTTATCACTTTCAATGTTTAAGTTAATAAAAAGTAATTGAGAATTGGCATAATTGAGTTTTTTAAGTCTTACTTTTGGATATGTTGACCTAGATAGTATTGAAAAGCAGGAAGGGAATCTAATGTACTTGGTCTTTTTTTATAGGTTGCAATACATTTTTGACTAGTCTTATCGCTCCTTGTGCAACAAAAGTGTATCAAAACAGTGCAGATTATAGCCTTTGTTCTATATCAACAAGATATTTGAAAGTAAGGGCAAAACTTTACAGTTTTTCTTAAAAAAAAAAAAAGATAATTCCCCAAATTTCCAAGAAGGCTAACGTCTAATACATGTAGAATGCTGAAACTTTGTTAATTAACCATTATAGAGAACAATGAAAACGTGATGCCATCAGTCACAGCTTTATTTTTCATACACATTAGAGCTGGTAACCTTGTCATTCTGAAACATTGTGAAAGAAAAAGTATATTTCCTTTTGACCAAAGCAGCTTAAGTATTGTAGAAAGAGCACTGGATGAGGAATGAAGAATCCTAGATTTAAATCTTGACTGAGCTCTGTCATTTCTATCTGTCCATAGGAAAGTAGTATTTCTGGTCTCAGTTTTCCTGTCTACATGGTTGAAGTATTGATCTCAATAAGTGAGGAATCTTCACCAATACAATTTTATGTCTTTAAGCCTATATGTCTCTTAGTTGCCAGCTCTGTGATTCCTCACAGAGGTGCTGTTGTCATCTACAGATATCTACGTACACTGTGCACACTGCCATGCAGAGAATGTACCTTAAGAGCAATGGCTCCATTGCCACTCAGATGCTGGTGATGCATAGGTTTTATGGAATATAAGAGTTTCTGAGCCTCACTAACCTGCTTCAAACAGGAAGAAAATCCATACATCTTATAAAAAGTCACATTGTTTTGATCAAAAAACTTCATTTTATTAAGATGAACAAAGCACCTCTATCTAAGGCCTTGGCTGCTGAACTTGTAAAAAACCAATTGATGATAACTTACCTGTCTGAAACCCAGGGCTGGATCACATAATTTCTTAGACATCTGGTCTAGATTTTTAGTAGTTATGTCTAAGACTACATTAAACTATATACTATGGTACTCATAATTTTCATCAGAGAGATGGAGTTTAAAGATAAAATTTGGTTAAAGCTTTTAGTAATGTGTAAGGACTATTTGTAGTCACTTTGTGCATCCCAAGAACAGTATTGGGAAGCCAAAGGTTATCTTGTTCCCCTACCGTTTTCCCTCCATATCAGCTTCCTGGCCTTCAGTGATTAACAGCTTAGAACATGTGAAAGAATGCAGTTTTACTGTCCAATGACAAGCTGGAATCTCAGGAAATGGAGTTACAATGTAAGGCATAGAAAAAAACTTTTTATAAATTTTACTTGTTTGATCCAAAAGCAAAGCCAGTTTAAGTTTGTAAAGTAGTAAAAATGCAAGAACTGGGTTAACTGAGCATATGACTGAAATTGAAAAAGAAGCTTAAGGGTATAGAACAGACTCAGAATTATAATAGATATTAATTAAATAAGGTATACATGATTGTATATTTGAGTATTTCATCAAGACAATAATCCAGCTATATGGGACTACAACTTTTATCCAGTTGATAACAACCAGTAAGGATAATAATTCAATAATGATAAATATGACTGCCTTTTTAGAGAGTAAAAGATTTTAACATTGTACACGTGATCTTAGCCAAAAGAAGTGATGTATGTGGCTTATTTTTAACACCAAATTTCCTGTAGCATTTTTCCCATTTTGTTCTCTTTTCACATTTCCAAGTAATTTTTAGATATATTACATGCCTCATTTAATATATTATGCAAAAGTTTAAAATTTAACAAGGTTCTAGAGAGGCAGAGAGAGAAAACTATATTACTTTGTTGATTCATTCAACAAAATATGATTGAATGTGTTCACTGTCCAGAATATTGTTCCATCTTTTTCTTAAATTGTCAGTGTCATTGGAGTGGCTATTATGCAGCTGACACTGACTTTTTTCAATTTATTTTCCCACATAATTGTATCCTTTCAGCATTCCCAATGATGGGAAAGCATCCTGGCATCATGGAAAGTCCAGTGGGCTTTGGAATCAAAGTTGAGTTCAAAGCCTGGCTCTACTCCCTTACTAGCTATGCATGTTTAGGCAGGTTACTTAAGCTCCTTGGACTTTTACTTCCTCTTTTACATAGTGGAAATGATAATACTTACATCAAATGGACACTGTGTTTCATGAAATGATATACATAGCATACCTAATACAGAGTGTGACACCCAGCAAGTGCTTATCTCTGAGCTGTTTGTCTTTACTTATCTACCTCCAATGCCTTCTAACTGGGTGAGAGTCTTATCTAGGTTGCCAGTACAACTTGCCCACCTACTCTATTGCAAGTGATATAATGTATTTTTTTTTTAAATCTCTACTTTGTTAACTGCTAACATACTCTTCTGAGGTTGCAAAATCAAAATTCTAGTGACCTAGTCAAGTTATGATGTTGAATGTGTTCAAGCAAACACCTTGGAAATGTATAACCAAATTTCCTCTATACTTTCCTACATCATAAGGGTAATCAGACCGTATAAATATACATGACAGTCAGAATATAGTTTAGAGATACTTTCAGTACAATAAGAAAAACATCTCTGTCTGAGTGCTGGGCCAACGATAGGCAGAGGTAGTGCCTTTGGCAGCCTGGAACATGGGCACCTTGTTTAGAGAGGCAGCCACTACTCACCTGCAGGCAGCTATTGCCACATGAGCATACAGACCCAGAGTGCTCTCACAGCCCATGTTTTCAAGATAAACTGAATATTTGCATTTTGATGGAAAATTTCTCAATATTTGAATATTGGGCCCAGTTTGTCTTGAAAGCTCCCAGTTTGTGCCCAAGGTTTTCCTGGTTCTCTCCAAACTTTCTGACCATTGCTTCTTTTCTGTCACAGGCTGCTTAATCAGGGTTTCCTCTTTAACAGCTTCTCAGTCCATATGATTTCCTTAAGCAATCTCATTCACATTCATGGTTTTATACCCTGCCTTCCATTGCCGAATACTCCCCAATTTGAGAGTTCAGTGAGAACCTTATTTTGGAATACTAGACTCATTTATCCAACTATCTGCTATCTATGTCCATTTAATCTCCCTCCAACATCTCAAAGTTACATGACCCAAACTAATATCATGAGCTTCCCTGGGCTTCCTTCCAAGTGAACCCTCTTCCTCTTGTGTGTTCCTCCCTCCCTGTTTTCTTTCAAGTTTAATGCCATTTTCCCAGTAGACAAACTATGCACCTAGGACTCAGTATACACCCTTTCCTTTTCCCTCATCATCACATACAACTACATTTTAAGTCCCATGAATTGTGTCTCAGCAGACATGTGTCAAACACATCCTCTCTTCCACATTTCCAGAGCATCTGCCTTGGTCCTCATTTGATTTATTGTCATAGTACCCAAACTGCATTTCCTGCTCTCAGACTCATGTTTTCCAATCCATTCTCACTACTGAAGAATTACCACAGCCACATATTCTAAAACTATATGACAGCATCTCTCTCCTGCCTGGGATTCTTCAGAGACTTTCAGTCATCTAGCTCACAGAAATTCTGCAAAACACAATGTGAGCAATGACAACCAGAACTAGGATTAGAACCCTTGCTCCAGGAACATATAGGTTCCAAAGATGAGCACAGTAAGACCCAGTGAATAATTCAGGGTAGGCAGTGGTCAGAGCAGATGGGATATGTAGCTACACTAGAATTTTCCTTTTTTAGAAGGGAGCTTATGGCCACAGGCTATGCCCCACTTTCCTTTTTACAATCCCTGAGTAAAGGAATTGTATTGAGTCAATGCCTCTTTTTCATTCTCAAAAAAGCAGGTATATTTCATCTCATGTAACCCCAATTTTGAAATGTGTGCCATGTAGCTTAATTAGCCTTTCTTTATAACACGCCACCTCAAATGTTTATTGTTCAATCCTCTACCAATTTTTAAGCCTGACAGAATCCGTAGGCCTTAAGAGAAATGAATTTTTTGTAAACAGTGAAACTGTTTCATTCCCCGGCTCTGCTAACCTTGAAGAAGTTTTCTAGCTTTTCTGCTTTTGTTTACTTTTTTGTTACAGAATTCCTTTGATGAAACCAGAGCCCCATTATCCATAATTTCTTATCACTTTATTGTACGCTTTAGCAGAAACCACAGGGGACTTTCCTGTGTTATGAGAACCTCTGAATTGCATGACAATCTTGTTTTACAAGTTTCTTATCTCCTTTTCATTTGTTCAGTTGCTGGTCACCAGTGGCTTACAATGTCACCAGACTCTGTTAAAAGAAATAAAAAGATTTTGTTCTGCAGTCTCCTTATCAGCAGTTCAGCTCCTGTTCTCCCAGCCACTGGTGATTTGTGACATCACTGGGTTCCCATGGTGTAACCATAGCCACTCACAAAAACAGTCTTGCAGTTTTACCCCACTGAATCATCACAGGTCTCTTGCATTTGTCAAGCATTTCACTGCGTAATGCTCTAAAACTCAGATGGTACCAGGTGAAAATCTGAATTATTCACTTTAATAAGAGATTGTCCTTTTATTCATTATTTGGCATGAATATAAATAATAAGATGGAGAATTACAAAAAGGAACACATGATATTAAATGGACTTGTAATTTAGTAAATAGTATCATAAATGATAATGAGTATATTTCTTTAAATGGATTCTTAGGAAACATATCAAAAAATATCAAAAATAAATCTGAGAAAAATATAGATAAAAATGTAATAGATTTAAATTTTTTGTTTAGTCTTATTACAAAATAAAAGACTTTTGAAGGTAGTTATAGACTATAGCAGGCATTAAATGAAAGTCTAGTTTGATAAAAGGGTTTATTTACAAATATTAGACTTTTACTCCTTAAAAAATGATTGTTGAATTCAGCTAGCCAACACAATTCAAAAGTGCAACTACATAAAATGCCAAAGAACCTGAACAAATAGTTGATAAAAGGTAGTGCTGAATAATATGTGAGAAAATGGGGATCAAAGAAATAGAAATATAATCACCTACACCTGTGCATTTGAGACGCACACACACATGCATACATGCACACACATACACACCCCTCATTAAATTAGTCATCAAAATCTTACACATTGCTGATGAGGTGTAGAGAAATAAGCAATTCCAAACACTGACTGACTGTGTGATAGTAGTAATTTAAATTTGTACAAGTACAAGTAGGATGGTAAAGTGGGAAGTCAGACACTCAAAGCATTTATCTTGACTGACCAGTTACAGTTTTGAGAAGTGAGTCTATGGAAATAGTCTAAAATAACAGAAAAGACTTTATGCCTCAAAAATGTTTGACACAGTGTTCTTCATAATGGCTAATAAAGAATAACAATTAAATAAGCCACAATCCATCCATAAACTCAAAAAGTGTAAGACTTTAAAATAATTAGAGAATTCTTTATAATGTTACACCAAAAAAGTTGAATGTAAATTTGTACATGCAGAGCTCAATATCAATTGCGAAAAAGATTTTTAAAATTATGCTTTAGAGAAATACAAAACAATTGTGTGTATGGGATTGGGGTAATTGCAATTTTAATCATTATACTTTTCTATATTCTACAACTATTCAAATACAGTTTTTGGAAAATTACCAATGACATAATGAAAATTTTTTTTTTGTTTTGGAGTGGTAATGTGTGATTGCCTTAAAAAGGTAACTAAGTATTACTGCCACTATTAACAAATCACTCAGAAATGCTTTAAAAATAATCCTACTTCTTCTGGATTTGGGGATGAAAATCAATTCACTATTTTAACTTGCCTATTTCAAGAAATAAAATAACTCATAACTATGGTGTATTTGCATTTGAACCTTCCCATCAGTGTTTGTTTGCTTTGTTTGTGAAAGTGCTGTGCAATGTTCAAGGTCTAGTCTGTCTTCTCATGTACTCATGCCAGCGATTAACTTTATCCTTTGGTGGCACGGAGATGGAAGTGAGAAGTTTGGGATAGTCCAAAAGTTATTAAGTGAGTGAAAAAATAAAGTTTGGGATTTAGCTTCTAAAATGGAATACAGTTCATGTGAATGAAATAGACCATTTATTTAACCATGTTTTGGCAGTTGATTTGAGTGTGAACAATACTGGGTCCCTTTTATAGTTTATCCCCCAAAGGCGAGTTTGGGCAGAATTAGAATGAAAATTAGACCCCTCCTTTAAAGGGGAGCTAAGGCCTGACTAAAGGGATTGTATTGAGCCAAAGCCTCTTTTCATCTTCAAAAAAAGAAAAAAAGGCAAGTATTTTTGTTTCCCCCAACCCCAAATTTTGCAATGACTGCTATGTAATTTAATGAATTTTTTTTTCCAGAATTTGCCATGTCTAACATTAGGACCCTTTGAAAAAAGCAGTCATCCATTCCATAGGTCCTGGTCTTCCTGTTTGCATAGAAGGCTCCCAGCAGACCTGCAGCAAAGAGTACCCTGTGCTCTGCCTCACAGTCAGGGGTCAGGGTTGGAGCGGAGTGACTAATAACAAAACCTGGCCTTCGAAATGCATTTCCTCCATAGAGTATGGGAATATGCAGATTTTTCATTTATCTCCTTAAATTTTAGTCTTTTCCTTTGTTCTCCAGGACTTCACATCACACCATACTTTGCACCCCCTGTAAATGGGCTGCTTTGTAAAACTCTTTTTAACGGGTCAGGAAAGGAAAAATTCCCACTGATTCCCCAAGGGAGAGACCAAACAGACTGAGAAAGATAACAGTGTTCTGGGGCAAACTGAACTGTCCCAGCAGGTCATGTTGGTCCAACAATATGCAAAGTGTGGAGGAAATTGGGACCATGGGGACCGTGGTGTCAGTGCTCAACTAGGACCATCATGTCTTGACTATTTGAAGGCAGGGGGGTTACGTGGCCATAAGACACACAGTGGGCCCTTCCAACTTTTAAAGTTAATATTCTATTTTATTTTCCTTTGTACTTCATTGCATTCTTTCTCATGCTCTTTTCATTCAAAGATTCAATCCCAAGACAGGATTATGATACTCCACCAGCTGTTGTGTCAGGTAGGAAAATTCTAATTCCTTTAAGATTTGATTGGAGGGGAGAGATGGAGGTGGCCTGGTTTTCTGCAAAACTCTTTAAAGCAGTGATTCTCAATGGGGGTGGGTACAGGAAATTTGAATTTCAGTTTGGCAGGGGTATGGTAGTCCTGAAAAGAATATTTAATATTAAAATCCAGTTTTTTGTCTTGAAAATAAATATGCTGCTTTTAAACTAAAAAGGGCCGAAAGACACTTTGTCCATCAAGGATACACAGAGGACAGAGTCTATGTTCTGTGTATCAGTGAATCTCAGTGTCAGACGAAGTCATCAGAATTTCTGAAAAGTGGGAGGATTTTATATTTAGCACAAAAAAGGGCACAGATTAATAAAAATAGATTGAGAAGCACTGCTTTAGAGACTAGAATTCTTCTGAAATCAGAAAATCATCTCATTTTGCTTGCTAAGCACAGGATCTGACATATAGTAGGTACTCAATATAATTATTTGTTGAATGAATCAAAACTTCAAATTTGCTCCAGAAATAATGTTTTGGATACCAAAAAATGAAGCTATAAATACTCATTTGTATAAAAAAGTATCAGAGAATACATTAGGGTCTTAAGGAGTTTAATTAGCAAAATTTTAGTTGTTTTATAAAATGTAGTGTTGTAATTTATAGCAGGATATTTGTACATGAAGAGGATAGGTTTTACTTTGAACTGTAAAGATCCTGTCATTTCATTTTAATTTTGAACTTTAGCTTCTTACAAAGAAAAAAAATAGACATGATTGTTCATTTTTGTTTATTTTTAAGAACTAATTGAAATACTGGAAGTCTGAAGAGCTTTGAACTCTTTGATCTATCGACATTAGGTGGCAAGAACATAAGATCAAAACCAAGAATTGTATTGGAAAGACAGAGCAAGAAAGACAGTCCAGAAATAGCCTGAAAGAGCCCACAGGGCAGTTGAGTCTGGCAAGTAGACAGTGACTTTCAGGTGTAGAACATCCTGCTCCTGGCCACTCCGTTGGCTTGACCTAGCATCTGAAGGATGGTATTTTTCTCATGTCCTGTGGACTTGTTCAGTTATGCTTATGACTGACTACTCATCTTGGAACTTTAAGTAAGAGTGTCCCCATTAAAGAAAAATGAGTTAGCTTTCAACTGTGAAGTCACTTTGGTTCTCTTCAAAATCTCCATAAATTGCTATTAATTAAAATATCACATATCTTTCCCCAAAAGGCATTACCTGTCACATCTTAACATGCCTTTTTCATTTAAGATATGGGACATCTAAGGAGTGACTTTTTTTGATGTGTACAGTTTCTATATTGTTTAACATTTGGCATGTTTGTTCAACAAAAGGCATCTACTCTTCATAATTTGCCAATATTAATAACAATAAAAGATGCAGTCTGGAACTTTTCTTCAATAGGTGTCCTGACTTCATTTTCAAGAACACAATTGAAAACAGCATCAGGATATCAAAAGTACTGGCTAGATATATCAACCATGGGCCAGGTTCCACACAAATCAGTTGAGCAGAAACCCTGGATGAAAATCTAAGTTCAGGAGTTCCCATCTGATTCCATAGACAGTAGCCATTGAAAGTTCTTGAGTAGGTAAATAACTTGATAAAAGTAATAATTTAAGTAATTTAGTCTAGCAATTTTGTGTATGCTTAAAGAAGAAGAAATAAGAATCACATAGAATAATTAGAAAGTCCGGATATGATATGTTTATAATTAAAAGTTTTAGCTAAGTTCCCAGTAGTGAAATACAAAGGAAGGGACCAACATAGTGTTTGTGTGAAAAATAACATGTGGGAGAATGTTACAGTTACTTCTCTCTTATAAGGGTTAATTGATGGTTAGAAATATGCATTTACACTGGTGTATTTGATCTACCTCTAAGTAGAAATAGATATGCCTTTTAAAAAAGTTTGATGACTGACTGGTGAGACAATTTCAGTGACTTGAATACTTGCATATCAATTACCCCACCATTGACTATATCAGGAAAGTGAAACTGTCCATGTTATTATAATAGCTCCTTCCTAAATATCTCAACATGCCAACAAATAATCAATTCTTTAGCAATGTAGAAGCCAACCAAATTATTCCAAATTACTGGAGTTCAAGATATTTGCTTGACAATCAATAGAGCTATAAGCCAACCTAACTTCATTCAATCAGTATTTAAAACATTTATAAGATAATTTCTGGGTTCTAGACACTGTACTTAAGTACTGGGGATATAAATATGAATAGAAAATAGACCCTTGGCTGAATATATATAATGGCTGAATTTATATTGCTGGGTTTTGTGATGCCCAATGTACAAAGCATGGAGGAATGAGAATTTAAAAGAAGATTTAAGATCCTCAGGAATAAAGAGAATTCTGAGCTGGATTTGGAAGGATGAACAGGAGTTTGCCTGCCAAGTGGACAAAAGTGCAAAGGCATATTGGGAAAATAGTACAGCATAGATAAACTCTTAGAAATAGGAAACAATATGAGGAGTTGAATGAAAGCAGGTCATTTGATATTTGGGGCAAAATATCACTCTGACATATACCAAAGCTACATCAGTATAAATTTGATTTGGAATAAGGACTCTTTCTTCTTTCAGTTATGTGTCATCTTCTTTTTCTCTTTATTTAAATAATACTTATTGGGTCATACTAAAAGTTAGCCATTGTGCTAAGTGCTAGAGATGCAACTTCCTCTTAAGAATGTAGGAAATTAGATGGAGGCAGGTTTTGCGACAATGTTGTAAGCATTTCAGTAGGAGCAAATATCATGACATTGTCAACTCATAAACAACATGCCCAGGTTTAGAAGCTAAACCACCAGTTGTGGAAACTTAGGAAAATTATTTAGCCTCTCTGTAGTTTTCATCACTTATCTAGGAGAAATAATAACCTCTTAGGATTGTTTTAAGCATTTGATGAGTTAAGGAATATAACCTACTTAGAAAAGATACTGACATAAAATAATTACTCAAATGCTATTAGTCACAACTGTACTAATCACTATTAGTACATGATATTGTGGCTGCACAAAGAAAGAACAACTAATATAACATAAATAGGAGAACGCAGAGAAAGGGTCCCAGTGGAAGAATTCTCTAAATGTAGAAATAAGGACACATGGGAATTAGCTAAGTAAAAACATGTTAGAGGCAAGAGTTTCAGACCAAGGAGACATTGGGTTCAAAGGCTTATGTGACAAGCGTATTGTAAATTCGGGCCACTGTAGTTTGTTAAATAGGGCAAAGATACATATATAGAGAGAAGTAGAGAAAAGGAGCCTGGGATATAGATTAGCTAGAGCAGTATCATCAGATATGGCAACTTGATCTATATATATCCTGATAGCAATAAAAGGTTTTAGGTTGAAGAACAATTGGTTTCTTTGGCTATAGACTGGAGAATACAGCAGAGAGAAGCAAAAACAGAAAAGGAGGAACTGAATTCAAGAATTCTAGGAAGAAATTAAGGCGTACTCAACTTGTGGAATGACAATAGAAAGTTGGTAAATTTGTGACAATTAAAAAGGTGGATGTTCAAGACTTGATAATAAATTGAATATCAGGATAGAAAGATAAAGAAGAACTAAGCATATTTCTTGAACTTCTACAACTCAATGGTCTGAGGTGCCATTTGCCGGGCTCTTAACCATAGAGAGGAGTCAGTTTTCAGGGAAAGACTGACTTCAATATTGAGCTTGCTGATTTGAGGTGTCTGTGGTGCATGCAAGTGGAGCTGTTCATAGCTACTTGGATGTGTGTCTGAGCTTGGGTGACATCACTTACCCAGAGGTAGGTTTTGGAGTTACTATTGTAGAATTAAGCCTTGTCACCCAGAGAAACATGCTCAGAGTCACAAGTAGACAGAACGTTGAAAATAAAGAATGGACAGAAATTGGAGCCTAAAATGAAGATGGGAAAAGACAACTCTAGACATTGAAGGCAAACAAGAGAATGAGATTTCAAAAAAGTCAGAAGTAACAGAGTATTTCAAAAGACAGTACTGTACAGTGAAATGAGTCCTGAAAATAAGTCATTGGATTTTGTTACCCAGAAATCATGAGTGAATTTGATGGTGCAGTTCACAACTGTGAATATCATGTAAGGAGTGGGCCTAGAAAACACAGGAAACAATAGATCTGGCTGTGAGGACTAGAGAAGACAACAGACAACAAATAGAATGGATTGGATTGTGGCATTTTTAAGATGAGAAGTATTTTTCTATAACTCGAAGAAGCCAAGAGATACTTTTACACCTTAAAGATACAATTCATAAAGGAGATAGATGACTGATAGAACAAGGTCCTCAAGGTGTATCTTCTAGCAATATGGAAAGGGCAAAAGAAAGGGATCATGTAAATGCATGTAAATCTGTACATGGAGAAATAGGAAGTCACTATTTATTGTGATATGAAGTATCAAATGATATGTTCTTCTGACAGTGTGGAAGAGGGCACAGTAAGGACTTAGAGAGAACAGCCATGTGAAAACCTGGAGTGGGAAGGCCAACAAGCAGCACACAGGAAATTTGAGGGTCAGTTCTGGGAGGAGGGGATTCATCAGAAGCTATAGACTATGAGTTTTTGTGATAATCTGTAGGGTGTTTGCTTTTCTTAGTGTAGTGGTCAGTACACTAAGAAGGCAGACATGGATTAATCCGGGTTAAGGATTTACTAAGTGGAGTGTAAACAAGGGCAATGTGCATTGATGTTATTGACAAGAAAATAATTGAGCAGCAAAGTGTGATTTCAAAGACAAATGTGAAGAGAAAAGAAGGCGATGGAAGATGGGAGACAGAAAGGATGCAAAAAATACAGAGATGAGAGTTCTCAGTGAGATATCTGGAGTAATCAGAAGTAGAATACATGGATTGAAGACTTTGGATAATGAACTATTTCTTAGCAAAGTTCTGATCATGGGAGCAGGTGGCCCAAATGGACATGAGGTAACATGACAGAAGTTAAGGAAGTCTCACAATATGAACATAAG